TACTACTACTACTACTACTACTACTACTACTACTACTACTACTACTACTACTACTACTACTACTACTACTACTACTACTACTACTACTACTACTACTACTACTACTACTACTACTACTACTACTACTACTACTACTACTCCACGAGTGGAAGGGAGAAGGGAAAGGACGGAGAGGGAGGGCTCGGAGACCCTTGGAGGGGGGGATGTGCCCATCCGAGGGAACGGTGCACCCCCCCCTCCCCGTCGTCAATTCGAGGGAACCAGCCATGGCAACGACCCCCCTCCTATCCCCCTCCGCGACCTGAGTAGACCACCCAGGCCAGCGGAGGACGTCATAGGAGGCAAGGGTTCTGACGTCGATGAGAGAAGAAAAAGGAGGAGCGAGTAGAAGGAGGAGGAGAGGCGTACGAGTACTACTACGACTACAATGGCGTGTTTTCCACAATGCGTCCCGGGAATGGAATTCTGGGAGGTGGAAGAGCAGGAAGTGGCGTGCAGTTGGCTCCGGGCATCCAAAATGTGCGCCAGGAGTGGCAAAAGTGGCATTCGGCGATTGCGTTCGGGGCAATCGAAGAGCACGAAGTGGCCTACGGTTGGCTCCGGGCATTCAGAATGTGGCCCGGGAATGGTGTTCTGGGAAATCGAAGAGCACGAAGTGGCCTACAGTTGGCTCTGGGCATTCAGAATGTGGCCCGGGAATGGCGTTCTGGGAAGTCGAAGAGCACGAAGTGGCCTACAGTTGGCTCCGGGCATTCAAAATGTGGCCCGGGAATGGTGTTCTGGGAACTCGAAGAGCACGAAGTGTGTGACTGTTGCGTCCGGTTATTCAAAATGTGGCCCGGGAATGGAGTTCTGGGAGGTCGAAGAGCACGACGTGTGTGACTGTTAGTGAAAAACGAGCCCGGTTCGTCCGCCCGGCGTCCGCCCGGCAGCTCGCCGACATCCGCCCAGACCCCCCTGTGGAGGAAGCTGCTGCCCTCTTTTGATCCTACTAGAAACCTATCAGTCTACGCTGTTAGGTAAAATACGACTGTCGGCATGCTTCGCAAGAGTTGCTGCTGTGAGATGGGCTGGTGGGGATACGCGAAGCGTAAAGAATTTCGACGTGTGCGCGAGGTCTCCTCTTGTCGTGTATAAGTTTTGCTTACGGGTTTCACGCCTAGGGTCCCGACAAGCGGGACCAGTGGGATTTCAGGGCACAGCGTGACTGGACGTCGACACTCTGGCTCAAGGCAGAAACACTTGCCGCCTCTCTCGCCCTCACATTATGGCATGAAAATGAGCGTTCGGAGGTCCGCGCGGATTTTCGGATCGGAGCTGAAACTCCCTGGCGGCGCCTCCGGCGCCGCCCCTGCCGCACGCCGCGCGCCAGGGAGGGGGGCCCAGCGCCGATCCAAGATATCCGCGTGGACCTTCGAGAAAATTCATGGTTATGTCGTTCTTGGTTCCCCGATGAGCGGGGCAAACTTTCTCAGAATACGACCGGGCTTCTCAGAAGCCCTCTGTCCCTCTGAAAAGCCGTCCCTGTCTTCGGAGAAGGCTTAGACAACTGATCAGAAGGCCAAAGGCCTTCCGAGCCTTCTGAGAGAGCCAGCCCCCTCTGACTTCTCTCCCGGACTCGCCACCGAAGGGGGTGAGCAGAGAGACAGAGGACAGCAAAACAAATGAAACGTGCGCGCCAGTCCGTTAGATCCTCGCGTCACAATTATTCCACAGCAGGCGATGTTGCGCCCCAACGCCGAAGCCGAAAGCCAAGGCGCCTCAAGGGACTCCCAAGATCGACCCATAAACGCCCCAGGAGGCCCTCACGATGACCCAACGACGGCACAAGTGGTCCCATGACGGCCCCAAAACAATTCCAAGACGGCCAACAGAGCCCCAGAACGGCCAAATCGACTCCTCAGATGGCCCGGCCCCAAAGAGCCCCAGAAGGTCCCTAGCAAGGTGCAGATACGCCCCCAATGCGCTCCCCGAAGAAACCATGCAGCCCGAGATCACCCGAAGACGGCTCAAGAGAGCCAAGAGGTTGCCAAAGAGAGCCATAGGAGGCCCCCAATAAGGCCGAAACTGTGAGAACATATGCCCAAAGAGAGCCACAAGATGACCCCAGAGGACCGCCAGACATCTAGCATGGCCGCACCTTCGCCCGCCATTTCACCACACAAGCGTCTCCACGAAGGCACGGGGCTGCTGTGATTCGCTGACGGTGCTTCGATCATAATCCGCTTTCCTGGCACTGCGATCCCTCGAAATTAAACACGGGCCCACACTCCCGAGGCTACGCAATTTGTAAAACAACAGGATGGGTCAGCGCCGCCGGCGTCGATGAAACAACAAAACTTCGCTCCCGAGGCCGCGACCACGAGTAAAAGCTATGGGTCCGCGCTCGTGCAACCACGATCACTCACGAACTGCAATTTTTTCTGCGCGCGCGCAGCAACGGCCCCTCAGAACACACGTCCCTGGCACCGTCTCTTCGGTCCACGCAACCCTCATTCTCGCGAACCCGCCAACAAACCAACCAGTTAACCACCCCGCCAGACAACTGGCCTGCGGGCCAACCACCAACCGATCAACCTGCTAGACGACCAGCTAACCAGCCGAGCTGGCAACATGCCAACCATACTTCGCCGAGCATCAGCTGGCCATCTATAATCAGACCGGACTGCATGTGCGAAGGGGTGCCTTTTGCTTTGACTTGCTGCAGTAATGCGACTTGGCAGGCGACCAACTCCGCCTTTCGCTTACCAATTAGCACGGTTCGCCCAAGGAACTCAACTTTCCGAGCTGCTTCCTCGATGCTGTTCGGACAGATGTCGTTCCTGCTGCGCTGTCATCCCACGTCATTGTGATCACTCGAAACATTCGCGGGGACTTGTCGAGTGAAGTGCAAGTCCTGCGCATGGGAGTCACGTTGCAGCCTGAAACATTGACAATTGACCTACCACTTCGTGTCACAAAATTCTTAACAACGACCATGACGGTCACTCGAGATACGCGTGCATCCCGGCATCATGGAAACTGACGATGCGCGCCGTCCATGGCGGAATGCTGATGACCTGGAGATACCCGCCCTTCCCCTAGACGGCAAACTCCTGATGGGAAGTTCGGCGCCATTGATAAGACACGAGACAGATAAGCGCGTCGGTCCCCTAAGGGCTTGAGGAACAATCGATGACTTGATCAGGCGCGAACTGAATAACGCCCGAGCCCGATTTCTGCGGCGAGACCTTCTCAGGGGAACCCAGCGCAATGGCGAGCTCGCGCTGCTCAAGATGCGCTTGCAAGCGGCAGCTCACGCATCGAAGGAATATTGAGACACACGCGATGTGAATGCCCTGCTGCTTCGAATTACCATGCGGTAGTAAAGTAGCTCTTGAGGCGGTGCGCCTAGGTGAAATTTGTCCCTCAGACAACGTGTTCTGCCTCTTTTGCCGATTGCCTAAATCCTCGCTGTTGTTGCTTCTCTTTGCTTCTCTTTGTGTCCTCCCAACTGCACTTGCACTGCCGCGCGAGGGGCGCGGCGTATCGCCTTGGGTCGTCGGCCGTCGGGAACTTGTTACCGCAAGCGCTCCAGCAAAGCAGATGCCGTGTTGCAATTTCTCAACAGGCTGTTCGGCCGATGCAGGAACGTGTCGAGTGTAAGTTGCGCTGGGCTCAGAGGTTCCACCAGACTCCCTGAGATGATGAGGAAACAATGAACGTCTGTGGTTGAAGACCTCCTCCTAGAGTAACATGCGCCGGCTTCCTGATATGGCCCTGTGGTTCCGCATGACGGGCGTCCTGCATCTTCCTGACGGGTAGCATTACCGACCGCCCTGCAAAACCAACGTTCATTTCGCCAGTTATCGCCAGAGCGACGACAGCCACCTGGCTCAGCAGCTCACAGGTTGAAAACCAGACGTTGAGTCTGCTACAGAAACGGAGTATTGGACGCTCAACTGTTGCTGTAAGCAATGGCAGGACAAAGCAATCAATGCTTGAGAAATGTTTTTCTTCCGTTGGGCCAGGGTGCGCACGCGTGTCTCGAGCGCATACGGCGGCTGGTGAACTGGGAACTTGGCCACTCGATCTTCAAGGTTCGACCGTTGATGCGCGCCGAAAGTGGGGCTTGAGGCGGCCCAGAAGCAATATTCAACATGCAAGCACATCATACGGCGAAAAGTGGCAGAGTGTCGATGGCGAGGTGGTGGTAGTGGCAAATTGACGACAGCAAACGGCGGGGGCGACGGCGAAGCGATGACGCGGCGGCGGCGTGGCGATGGCGAGGACGCGGTGGCGGCTCGCAGGGCGACGACGACGACGACCACCTCGGTGAACCTCCTCCAACTCGCTCTCGGGCCGCGATGCAGGACTCAAGCGGCCGTTCGGTATGATTCCGGCGCCCCCAGAAGCATCTCGACCAACCAAAGAGGGCGAACAGAACGGCGATGACGACAAGCAGGGACTCACGACTGACAACCGAAGGAGACCGACACCGACAACAGACGCCCGACGAGGGCGACGACACAAGAAGAATTGACCCCTCCCCCAGGGACCTGTTTTTCATCCCACCACTTCCAAGCTCGAGAGCCCCAGGGCCCACACGGATATGGGGATATGGAGGCCGACGCTGGGGGAAAACCAAACTCTGTCGCTCGATCTCTCGCCCGACCTTCTACGACCGACGACGGTCGACGGCGACTGGCGGCGGCCCGCACACGGCCTCTGGGGGCCGACGCCGGGGGAATATTGAAATCGCTCGGTCGATCCTCGACGACCGACGACGGCCGACGGCGAAAGACGGCGATGCCGACCGACCGACAGCGGCGAGAAGCGCGGCGCGCTGCGGCCGCGAGGGGCGGTCCGCCGCGGCGGCCGACACCGAGGAAAAACACACCGAAATCGCTCGATCGATCCTCGAAGGCCGACGACGGCCGACGGCGCCCGGCGGCGGAAACGCCGATCGACCGACAGCAGCGCGGCGCGCGGCGCGGGGCGCGCGGCGGCGCGGGGCGGTCCGCCGCGGCGGCGAGCGTGGCCCGCACCGCCTCCTCGACCACGGCGCGCAGCGCCTCGGGCGCGCGCCGGTGAGGGATCCGTGCCGCCGCCTCGTCGGCCTCGTCGGCCTCGTGGGCCTCGTCGTCGTCGTCGTCGTCGTCGTCGTCGTCGTCGTCGTCGTCTGAGGGATCACTGCTGTTTCGGTGCTGGCTGGCCCTGTCTGGGCCGCGGTCGTCGTCGCCGTCGTCGCCCTCGTCATCTTTCCCGCGGGATCGAAGCTGCTTGGGTTTTTGCTGGCCCTCTTTGGGCCGCGGGGGAGGGCCATCGCGGCCACGGCTGGACCCGCCACGAAACTATTGTCGGGACGCCCCACAGGATGGATGCTGGGTCGGCCTCGTCGCCAGCCTCATTCTCGCCGTCGCCATTGACGCTGTCGTCTGCCGCGGCGTGGTCGTGGACGTGGCCGCCGGCCTCGTCGCCTTCAGCGGATACCCAGTGCATGGCTAAGCCACAACAGTCACACGCTTATCAATACTTTCGAGACCATTGTTGCGAGTATGCACGGCATCGAAACTGAACTCGGCAAGCCCCTGCCATGACTGGCCCCTGCCACCACTTAATGTCGGAAGTGGGTACAGCTCGGGCCCCCGTGGGCCGCCGATCGGTTTCAATCTCGGACGCCCGCGCCCGCGCCGCTGTCGCTTCGGCGCACCACGGGCCCGCCGTGACACGCGACTCGCGAGAAAGGCAACGAAGCCGAGAGCACGCACGCGCACACCGAATCCCTTCACCTGCTGCTGCTCCTCCTCTTCCCTACTCCTTCCTCCTTCCATCCATCTCTGCTCCCCTCGTCCGTCCCCTATACATCTCCTCCTACGTCTTCTCGCCGTGGTTCTACGCTAATCCGTGCCTGGCACAATTATGAATGATGCCAAGTGACAAATCCGGTGCTCATGATTAAACGGACTACTGCATGCACATGTTGTTCATGGTTCGCGCCACCTCGTCCTCCTCATCCTCCTAGTTTCTCCTCCTCGGTGTCATCCTTGTTCGCCTCATGGTCATCCTAATACTCCTCACCTCTCCTCCCTCCTCCTCATCCGCACTCTCCATCCCTCTCTTCCTCCCTCATCCTAATCCTTCCTCCGCGCTCCTCCCTCCTGCCTCCTCCTCCCTCTCTCGTCAGTGTCCCTCCGCCCTCGCCATCGTCCCTCACCCCTCGTCATCGTCCTTCCTCATCCTCTTCCTCCTCCTCCTCCTCCTCATCCTCCTCCTGCTCCTCCGACTTCTTCCCTCATCGTCTTCCCTCCTCCTCCTGCTCCTCCTCCCACTCCATGTTGTTCCACCTGGCAGACCTCCACTACTGCTTCCCGGTCCGCGGCTGCTGACAGCCACGGGGCACACGCTGCCGCAGCTCCCTTTCGCCTCTCCCTCCTCGCCCCCCTGCCCTGCAAACTACTCCACCCCAGCAGGCCCTCCACAGCCTTTCTCTGGGAGCGCGGCTGCCAACATCGATGGTCGCCTCAGCCGATGGCGCCCCGCCCCTCTCAGGCGGCCGCCGAGCTCGCGCTGCAGGTACGCACGAGCGGCGCCCACGCCAGCCTCCCCTCCCCACGGCGGCAGAGCGCGGGCGCCCGCGCCCCCCACGCACTGACAAGGACGTCGGGGAGCTCACCCTTAGCCCCCGGAAGCGTCGAGCAGCGACGCCCGGATGCTCGTTTAAGGGGGGAGAGGTGCAATAGACCCCGGGGTGAAGTTGGAACCACGAGTACATACACTAAGGGATGTGAGCCCTGTCCCATGGGGCGTCGCAGAACCCCCCCCCAAGGACACAGTACAGTGCATAATTGTTTGGCCAACTCTCTGGGCGACAGGTGTGGAGCAGTACGCATATATATATATATATATATATATATATATACACGTATACACACATACCTACCTACATACAGACATGCATGCATACCTATACACATACATACGCACGTACGCACATACATACATACACACATACATGAACACTTACATACAAACAAACAACCAAACATACATACACATACATACAGACATGCATACAATGCACACACATCCATATATACATACATGCGTACATGCAAACACACATACATGCATACATGCATCGAACATGCATGCAGGCATACATACCTGCATGCATACAACCATACATACGTACATACATACATACCTACATGCATACATCAACACACATACGTATCTACCTACATACATACATACACACACCCATGCACATCCATCCATCCATGCATCCATGCATCCATCCATCCATGCATGCATGCATGCATGCATACAACATACCCACATACACAGGTTTCTATCTACCTACCTACCTACCTACCTACCTACCTACCTACCTAGATACATGCACATACATACATACATACATACATACATACATACATTCATACATACATACATGCATATATAGATATATATATATAGATATATATATATAACTATATATAGAGATATATAGATATA